TGTGAAAAAAATTCAACAGCGCATACGTGCTAATAGTTTTAGACCCACAAGAGGTACTCATTTTATTTCAATGTATGTATAAAACCACAAAAACAATTGCATAAATTACTCTTTTTTAACACAACAGTACATGCACAAAACCAAAATATTACAATTACAAAATATAAATTAATATTATAGACCTCTTAAAACTGAGCTAATATGTCCATTGTTTGACAACATCTTTCTTATTTACAGCAGGCTCCACATGATGGAGTTCACTGGACTATAAAACAGTTGCTGGATGCAAAGATGCAAAGACTTAAAAAGCTCCAATGATCTTCTATTTCTGCAGCTGTGAGCTGCGCTGGTGGATCTTCTGCGCTTTTTTCCTAAAATGATGACAGATGGAGTTACTTCTCTTGCTGTTTATTAGAAAATCAGAACATTTGCTCTTTATTCTGTTTCGAAAAATCTCACCTTATGCGATCAATAGCGTCAATCACCCACTTCAGAGCTGGATTGGCACATGCTTTCCCCTTCTTTGTGTGGAAACTACATTAAAATAAAACGATATGTTAATATTTGTACACCCATAGTAAACACTAGTTTCTTTAAAGCAGTTTGTTAAAGTAATTGTAATGATGCTCACATGATGGCATTGATGGGACACATCTCTGTAACAGTCTGGACTGAGTACCCCTTGATGGCTGAATATGGTAATCTGCCTGTCATGTACCTTCGACAGCAGTCAGGATAAGCTGTGAAAGAAGGAAAGACAATTTGTGACTAAACAAGAAACAAATCATAGAAAGACAAGAAAGGACAAGAAAGCAACAAATACAAACCTGCTGATGTGTTTGCAGTCAGACAAACAGTAAGTGCGATCACCACCACAGCTCGGATTGGCAGCATGTCTTCTTCGTTTGTGTTGGCAGCAGTGACTCTGATGATGAAACTGTCTCGCCTTTTCAGGTGGAGTCAGAGAGGTTGTGCTGGTAAAACTGCTAATCTCAGCAGCCTCATTTATACCTCAGCTCTAAACGCATCAAGACATGTGACATCATCACAAAAAGTCCCAGCAGAGGTACAAGTAGGAGGGGCGTATGAATCCACATGGATCCACACTATGGCAGTGTTTGGAAACATTTGTTTTGATTATGGAAATTTATGGAACAACTTTTATTTAACACTTTTCCAGGCGTACAGTGTTTATGTACATACACACACCTGTCATAAAAAGGTAGTGTGGTTACTCATTAACTGTGTAAAAAAGTGTAACCTTTGGGAGGAATTGATTTCAAACCAGCTCATATTCAAACCAGCTCAGTAGGAAGCAAGGAATTATAATCATGGGCAATTTAAAAGAAAAACATTGCGCCAT